CTAACTCCTGAATGAAGCTGTGCCTTGAAAAACAATATAAACCTTTATCTCTACAGCTCCTTATTTGCAGAATTATTAACTTTATATTTTTCCTTTTCCTGGTCCATATCCCCTTTGCTACTTTGAAACGGTCCCAAAACAGCAATAATTTTAAAGGAAGTTATCATAACTTCATTTCCAAAAGTTATTAGTAACACTGTTACTGTAACAGATGACTGTTGGCAACTGTGGCTTTAGACCTCTGACTTTTCTTGGTTTTTTTTTTTTAAATATAAATATACTTTGTTTGGACCACCCAGAACAGATAAATAGTCATGTAAGCAATATATCTAATACAGTACTCCATATAGTCTGCAACCACTTCCACCATTTCCCAGGCAAAATTGACATTGAGCAAGTAGTAAACCAAGACAGTACTCAAAGCTTTTTAATTCTGCAGACAAAAATAGACCGGATAAAATATACATGGGAATTTCTCCAATGCACACAGCAGGGAGCCTTGGAAAAGGCCAGCATGCTAAAAGCAAAAGAAAAATCTGACTAAAGCCCAATCCTAAAATACAAACAATAACCCAGCAGCATGAATGACTTTCTCAAACTGGATTCCTCTCCCTCCTCCTACAGAAGGCTATTGCCTGACAAACAAGGATACAAAAAATTTATTTTTTTTTTAAATCACATTCATCGCTTCCCTCCTACATTATATACAGCACTAGTCTTATTGTCATTCATTAAAAAGACGAAAATAGATGCCAGGCAGGATATAATACAACGTGTTGCTATCAAAGCACACCAGTTGGCACACCCCTTTTTCTAACAAGCTAGTAGTAAGATGGTACAAGCCAGGCTGAAATGAACACTTATCCATCATTAACACTTAAATCAATTTGTGCAAAAGTTTTCCACTACTTTCGCTTCATTACATTTGTCATAGGAAAGAAATCAAAGACAACTTTCTGGCTAAGAATGACAAGCAAAATAAACAGTATAATCCAATAACACACAAACCTTTAAAAAAAGACATGACCTTGGCCATACACATCAGGAAACATGAGCTCTGCCCCAAGGAAAAAAGAATGGCTAAAATGACTTCTTCACAAAGTTTAAGTCCTCTCTATGTTTCCTCTCTGTGACTAGATAGTTATCATGAGATCAGAAGACATTCTGCCTTAAAGCAAGCACTACTACTAATTTCTTTGAACATTAGCTGATTTTGGAATTCATGGACTGCAGTGTAGTAGAGTAAGAAAACAGTCACTGGAGAAAAGATGTTGCCTTTGTATTATAGTTATTTTACTTTAAAAAAAATCCAAGAAGGATGAATAGTCATTTAAGTCTCTCTTCATAAGATGCTTTGTCTTTCTTTAAAAAAAAACAAAAACAAAAAACCCAACTAAAAAACCCCACAAAACCACAGCACATTACTATGTTTAATCAAGTTCTTCCCATATGAAAGTAATAAAATTCAAATGAAAGAAATCCAAGTGAAATTCAGCTCACATTTGTAGACAGTGCTCTTAGAGAGGCTAATTATAATATAAAGAAGCGTGAGAAGAAATATATCACTTTGCATTTTGCCACACTCCCATTAAAATGGATGACAGTAACATTTAGTGCATCAGTTGTATACTGCCTTTCTAATCATGCCCCTTTCCACCTTATTCAGGCTCTTAGCACCCTGGCATGCCACATGTTGGCCAGGCACCTGGCAAAACACTCATCTAATCTCTGGTCTCGTCCAGGCTCCAAATCCTCAGAGTAGCTATGATCTGAAGTAGAACACCACAAGCTTTATCTCCATTGTTTGCTGTCCTTAGAAAGCACCTTTATGTGCATTTTTTGCTAGTCCACATATGGCAATCTTAAGCATAGCTTGGATAAACCCCAAATGATACATCCTGACAGGCCCAAGCACATACTGCATGATTCTTGTTTGTACTCCCCATGCTTTCCGCATATGAATCTCAAGTTGTCAGTATTCTGGAGAGAAATCTCAGGATATACAGTCCTCAGAGAGGCTTTGGCAATAAAACAATAGCTAGCAGCAGGAGTGACAAACACAGTCACAGCTCTGTGGATACAGCTAAAGAGGCACAGAGGCAGTCTGACAGAAGGCCGCTCCTTACTGTTGAAATACAGTTTTCCAGTCTTTTTGTGGACACTTACACATAAGCTCTCTGAAGAAAGAGCAGTGCAATACCTTAAAGAAAAGCATATTTTGCTTCAAGCAACAGGGCAATGACCAGAAATTATCTCACTTTATACTGTTAGGAACTAAACATAGGACTATTATACTTTTCCTATCCAGTGCAAGTTTCTATAATGCCTACTACCAAAGTATACAGTATTTTTTTGTTGTAATGGCTACTTCTTGGGAAAGTTTAGCAGAGATATACAAATACCTGATAGTAACCAATTCTTCCTTCATCCCATCTTTAGCCAAAAGCAGAAGGGAATGCTTCCAGAGGAGCTTGAGCCGAGCAGTTTAACACTGCATCCTCCAGTGACACACTAAACCGTCAGGCTGATCAGTCACATACAGTGTCCATTTGCTGACTGTATTGGGTTGTTGTGAGGGTTTGGGGTTTTTTTGGTAGCGGGTAAGGGCTATGAAGATAGCACTGTAAGAAGCTGCCAGAAGCTTCCCTGGCTCCGATTTCGTGCTAATCATTGCTTCCGGGAATGATGTATTTAAGAATGGTGCAGCGCCCCTGACTCTGAGAAGTGTGTGCTGGAACAGTCTGTAGCAAGGACTGCACCTCACAGAAGGTAAGCCCACACTGGAGCAGTTTGTGAGGAAACTGTGGGCAGCTGTGGGCAGACCCACATTGAAGCTCATGGAGGACTGTTTCCTGTAGGAGGGACACCATGTGGAAGCAGAGGAAGAGTGCAAGCAGACCTCCCTACCCCTGAAAAGAAAGGAGCAGCAAAAACCACATCCCCCACTCCCTGTGCTGCTGGGGAGAAAGGAGGTAAAGAAACCAGGAGCAAAGCTAAGGAAGAAGGGAGGGATGAGGGAAGGTGTTGACTTTAAGATCGGGATGTATCTCTCATTGTTCTACTCTGATACTACTGGTAGCAAATTAAGGTTTTTTTCTCTCCACAAGATGAGTCTGTCTTTTGCCCATGACCATCGGCAGTGAGTGAACTTCCCTGTCCTTTGTCTCAGCCCATGAGCTATTTGTTAAATTTTCTTCTTCTCATCCCACTAGGGAAGGAGGAGTTAGCAAGCAGCTTCATGGAGCTCAGTTGCCCACTATGTTCAAACCATAAGATCAACTGATCTCTTGCATCAACACAAGACCTACACAAACCACGTATAAATCCTTTAAAGTCAGGCTTTCTACAAATGCAAAGTCTTTTCCTCAGGCAACATGACTGCAGTAGTCTACTTTAACCTTTACTGTTGTTAAACGATTGTGAGCACTACAGACACTTTAGCATCTGAAAGGAGGAAATAATTTTTCCAAAACACACATTCTCATTTTAGAAGTGGTTACTTTTCTGGGGTACGTGCACATCACTGTCTTGGTAGTTTAGGCATGTGCATAATCTTTATTTGGCAGTAAACACTTTGTTTGTGCAAAACTGCGTACTCTAATACTTTTCTTCTCACGATGGCGTCAATCCAGGGCTCTGCTGTAGTCCCACAAGGAGAGCCAGTAGAACATGTTCCCTGGCTGATCTCCAGCTCATCTGTTTGCTCTGTTCCCCCACCCTCCATTGCCTGCTTTATGTTACAGCGCCTGGGTTATTATTTAACCTTTTCATCCACCACAAGTGAAAATTTGTTGGGGGCAGTGAAGC